CTTGAGGAAAGGAACATAGCATTGCCCCCCTCTGAAAAAGGCATCGTCCTGATGCTTTAACAAACGACAAAGGTACAAAAATAAACACAATTAACAATACCAACAGCAACAACATAAAAATACAGTCCTCAGATTTGTACATGGAATGGCTTGAGGCGCACGGCATAGACGACTTCAGGTCGAGCACAGCGCCGTTGATAGCTCGTAATGCCGTCGCGAACAACCTCATAGCCGAGTAGGCCAAGACGTCGAACTACTCTGTACGGTTCGAAGTACCGTCGCAGAAGTTTTTCACTGAGCCCACGACTGCGTATCGCGTCCCTAGCCAGACACGGTTTCCAGGCTGGTACTTAACGAAGCTTCGTCGAAGATTGCAATAGAGGCTATCGGTCACTTGCTAATTTTTGGAGCGCAAGCGGGTGAGTTCACGAGCTTCTTCTGCACGCTGAAGGTAAGTGGTGACGTCGAGGTTCTCTTCATCAGCGATGTTTGGAAGCATAGCCTCAAGCGTCCTTTCCGGGCTCCTTCCATAGACCAACTTGTACGGCGTCATCTGCGTCATTTCTTGGACGGCTGTATTGTACGCAAAAGTCACGTACGGAAGGATTTAATCCAACATTTTGTGCTCAACGCCGATGTACATAGCCAGCATATCAGCGATGGTCTTACTAAGACGTTTGGTGAGACTGTTGGTCTGTCTCACCAGCGGTGGGGCGGCGGTGACTTGTCTGGCTGTACCTCAAGATCGCTTGAGTTAGGTCCGCCGTAGAGGCTGTACCTCTATCAGTAATGAGGACCTCTGGAGCTCCGTGCCACAGAACGTTCTCGACGAAAAACCTTGCTACCTCGGAGGCACTGCCTTTGGGGAGGGCCTTTGTGTCGGTGTAGTGTGTGAGGTAGTCAGTAGCTACGACGATCCATTTGATCCCAGAATTCGATGTCGGGAACGGCCCCAGTAAGTCCATACCGATTTGCTGGAACGGCCGGCGTGGTGGCTCGATGGTCTGGAGAAGTCTGGTTGGCCTAGTCAATGGTGTCTTTCGTCGTTGACAGTCGCGGCAGGTCCTGACGTAGCGAGTGACGTCGGCGGAAAGTCATGGCCAGTAGTACTTTTCTTGTATTCTTGCGAGCATACGGAAAACACCGAGGTGTCCAACCATCGGGTAGGGCCTCGAGTACTCCTGGTGTCACTGCTGAAGGAAACATGAGAAGGTGGTCGGCTTGAAGGGGCGTGTCCTTTTTTAAGAAACCTCCATTTCGCAAGAAGAATGATTCCAGTCTTCTCTTGAAAACATTCGAAATAGTCGTGCTGCTACCGCTGAGGTATTCTACAAGGCTTCTGAGTTCCGGGTCAGCTCGCTGTTGCTCAGTAAAGTCGTCGTCAGTTATTGTCCCTAAGAATCTGTCCTCATCCAGGCCGTCGGGAAGCGGTGCTCGACCGGGGCACGAGACAAGCAGTCGGTTTCAGAGTGTGTTCTTCCAGACTTGTAAACGACGGTCACGTCAAGTTCTTGAAGTTTGAGGCTCCATATTGCGAGGCGACCCGAAAAGTTTTTCAAGTTAGCTAGCCAACACAAGGCATGGGGGTCGCTTAGAACTTTGAAAGGCGTGCCATAGAGGTAGGACCAAAACTTTGACGCTGCCCAGATAATGGCAAGGCTCTCCTTTTCTGTTCTGGAATAGTTGGCCTCGGCCTTCGATAGCGACGAGCTAGCATAAATGATGACCTTTTTCATGCTGCCAGTCCTTTGCACAAGAACCGCACTGAGTCCTACTCTGCTTGCCTCGGTGTGTACTTCTGTTTTGGTGTATTCGTCGAAATGCCCAAGTATGGGTGGTGTTCGGAGGCATCGTTGAAGTGCCTGAAATGCTTCTTCTTGTGTCGCTTCTCACTTGAATTCGACGTTGTTTTTCGTGAGGTTAGTTAGCGGCTCGGCTATCTGTGAAAAACGTTTGATGAAACACCTGTAATTGGCACACAATCCGAGGAATCGGCGTACAGCCTTCTTGTCAGTGGGCTGCGAGAAATCAGCGATGGCGAATGTCTTCCACAGGTCAGGACAGACTGCGGACTTGCTTATCCCATGTCTCAAGAACAACGGCTCCTCGTACGCGAAGCGGCACTTTTCTGGCTTCAGGGTTTATCTAGAAGTGTTGATAGCTTGAAGTACCACTTCAAGGCACCAGAAATGCTTGTCGAAGCTGGAGGAAAACAGGACGATGTCATCCAGTAAATGAGGCAAGTCTGCCATTTCAATCCAGCCAGCACGGTTTCCATAATATGCTGGAACGTTGATTGATTGATTGATTGATTTGTGGGGTTTAACGTCCCAAAACCACCGTTTGATTATGAGAGACGCCGTAGTGGAGGGCTCCGGAAATTTTGACCACCTGGGGTTCCTTAACGTGCACCCAAATCTGAGTACACGGGCCTACAACATTTCCGCCTCCATCGGAAATGCAGCCGCCGCAGCCGGGAATCGAACCCGCGACTTGCGGGTCAGCAGCCGAGTACCTTAGCCAGTACACCACCGCGGCGGGGCAATATGCTGGAACGTCGCAGGTGCCAAGCAAAGACCAAATGGCATGACCTTAAACTCGAAGAAGCCGTCTGGTGTGATAAAGGCTGTCTTCAAGCTCTCTCGTCAACCTCAATTTGCCAATAGCCCGTTTTGAGGTTTATCGAAGAAAAGTACTTCGCGTTGTAGACACGGTCCAGTCCGTCGTCTATACGTGGAAGACAGTACACGTCCTTTGTGATTTTGTTCAGGAGGCAGTAATCGACGCAAAAACGTAGGGTCCCATCCTTCTTCTTCACTAATAACACGGGTGATGCCCACGGACTCTTGGATGGCTGGAATGATGTCATCGCGTAGCATTTCGTCGACTTGTTTTTTCACGACCTGGCATTCGCGCGTCGAGACTCGGTACGGGCTTTGTCGAACTAATCAGGCACTTTCTTCTGTTATGAAGCTATCAGTGCAAGTGTGCAACTGTAACCCAACTTTCTGTTTACCGGGCACAGGTTTGCCCAAATAAACAGTTTCATCTGACCATCCAGTACCCAGCACCTCCACCACATGTCACGGGGTCGTGACACGGTTGAAGGCAGGAGACTGGATGGTCAGATGAAACTGTTTATTTGGGCGAATCTGTGCCCGGGAAAAGTAAAGTCGGGTTACAGCAGCACACTTGCACTGACAGCAGCGAATGCAGCATCGGTTGTCGATCAACTGAAAAGCGGCGAAGCGTGTCGGGACTTATACCCTTGCCATCGAATATTCTAGCGTTATCGCTAGTGGCCACGTAGGTTCCCGAATAATCAGTGATATTCCCAAAGTGGGCTTAATCTCAACAAACTGATCTACTAAAGCCTCTAAGCTTCTCGAACATCGTAGGCGCGGTTTGTGCTGAACGTGGTGTAACGGGGTGATAGCAAAACTTAAAGAAAAGAACGTGGCAATATACAATGATCTGAACTGGCACGCATGTGTTACTAACATTATATCATTGGTGAACAAGTCTTTAGGCTTCCCGAAACGTCACCTTGGGCATGGCCCAAAGAATGTCAAGCTGCTGGCCTACAAGTCTTTTATCTGGTCCAAACTGGAATACGTAGCCGCAGTCTGGAGCCCACATCAAGTTTACTTAACCGACTCACTCAAAGCAGTTCAAAACCATGCCATCGGTTTCATTCATTCTTCATGTTAGTATAACACCAGTGTATCATCACTGAAATACGAATCAGCTGTTTTAAACCTTGTCTACTGCCATCGCATTTCCAGTGTGCACCTTTCCAATAAGTTTTTTTCACAGCTAGCTTCATCACCCATACATAACTCCACCGGCGCCCATATATGTCATCCCACGTTGTCAACCACTTCAAGTTGCATGACCATCTTTGCTGTGTCACTTTTTATACGAACTGCAAAAGACTGTAATAACCTTCCTCATAACCTCATCACCACTGCATGCCCATAAACATTTTACAGCGAAAGCTGCTATGAGATCACAACATGGATCATATGCAGCACTATAGTTGTCCAACGCCGCCGCCAATGTCCGTAACCACTATCGGACACTGAGAGTGGCACACTGAGCATGTGCGTGACACACCTAGGAAGTGGCACACTGAGCACGTGCTTCTGCATCCTCCTCCTCCCAAAATGTTTCGTTATGTTATACAGAGTCCAAAATGACCGTTCGCCTGCTTGGTCCCCACTTCAGCTTAATGAGGTGCCCCCTTAACTCCCCCCTTCGAAAAAACATTTTACCTCTGGCCCTGCTCCAAGCAGGTGAGTTCCACTGTCAAATTCGAATATTAATATGAAAAGACCTTTTGTTCTTCTCAATTTAGAGCTCTCAGACCAACTTTAGAACATTCAGTGAACTGTTGATGCTGCGTGAGAGCAGCGACTCCCAGCAGCCAACAGGCGGTTCAACTTAATCAAGTAACGTCTTTCCTCCACAAAAACAAGAAGGGACTTATTTCAGGTCAATTAACAAAAGACGCTGCAAAAGCCTGCTATAAATTTTACTAACGGGCTAAGCTTTGCCGCAGTGCATGGGCCAAATATGTCCTCACCCCTATTGTAACAGCACTCGCTGAAATGTTGTTCATAACCGCTGCTGGTGATTGACGTCTTTCGTAACCATGCTGTCGAATACATTCCACATGTATCAGTGGAACTATTCCATACTACTGAGGGAAAGTGAAATGATCGTCACACAGTGATGCGCTCCTCCTCGCCCCTCCCCTCGCATGGAGTTTAGGTAATACGGACCCATTTAGCTGGATTATGACTGTCGGTTATAACAAGTTATAACAAGAGTAGACTACACATTGAGACAACTGGATTCGGCAAGAATCTACAGTGTAGCAGTGCATGGGCTTTTTTTTTTTTGAGACAGGCTAAGGGGTCAGTGCGACTGGTAGCACACTCTTGACAATGTTTCTCGATAGATAAATTCATTCTGAAAATGCCTGTTAAGGGTCTCACCTTCCTGACGAAGAAACTCAAACACCAGGCGGCCCATGAGGCTCCCAAAGGATCCATACTGCAATGCCCTGCAACATCACAACAAGGACACAAGGAGCTGTTGCACTTTTTTAATCAAACAAGCTGAATTAAGAGACGGTCACGAGTCGTCAGCATCCATGGAGAAATAAGGTGGCCATAACAATGACAAAGCAGTGTGTGCCTTTTCGACCCAGCAATCAGTGCACAGATCAGACGAAAAAAAAAGCAGTGCCAAAAAGCAGCAAAGCTCAAGTTGGAACGAAATACAACTTATTTAGGATGCGGGCAATATCTTTTTTAATGTATAGTTTATCCCTGACTCACACTCCTTTAGGAAAGTGCCTTTTAGTAATGGCATCGTTCACGAAGAAATTGAGTGCGTGAAATTATTTTGGGAGCTATCTTCTTTACACAATTCAAATAATTTAAATCATCTGAGCTAATTTATGTTCTCTTGAGAAAGTGCATTAAAAAGGTAGCCTTTGTATTCAGAAGTGTGCTAGGAATGCAAGAATGTACTGATGTGGACACTCTCGTTGCAATTAGCGGGCATTATGTTGAACACTGAGAGCAAAAAATTTACGAATGAGCGTCATGTGACAATTTTGAAGTCCAGCCATAAGAAATGAAAGAAGAGTATGCTGGGAATTCTACTAAGGACATTTAACAAAAGGAGGATGCAGCATAAAGAAAAGAAAAACAGGGACATAATGGCAATTTTATCATGAGCATGAAGAGACAGCAGCTTTGGAGCCGGTTGACTTGTGGGGTACTTAGCTAAGAAGCAGAAACCTGGAGACTTGCAAAGAGGGTTCAGCTTAAATTGAGGACGATGCAGCGAGCGATGGAAAGGAAAATGGTAGCTGTAACCTTAAGAAACAAGAAGAGAGCAGATTGGATCAGGGAACAATTAGGGCTTAAGGATATGATAGTTGAAATCAAGACAGGAAAATAGACATTGGCCGGGCATGTAACACATAGGTAGGATAATCACTGGTCATTAAGGGTAACTGACTGGATTCCCAAAGAAGGCAAGCGGGTTAGGGGAAGAAAAAAAGTTAGGTGGGCAGATGAGAAGTTTGTGGGTATAAAATGGCAGCAGCAAGCACAGGACCGAGTTGACTGGCAGAACATGGAAGAGGCCTTTGTCTTGCAGTGGACGTAGTCAGGCTGATGATGATGATGATGACTTGTGGGGGCTAGGTGCACTCAATTTCTTAACCCCCTCTATGAAGCTAAATGCCTTGTGTGGCTGTTATCCATATAAAATTTCTTTTTCACCAGTTACTGCTGTGTTGCTGTGTTTTTTGAAACAATTGACAGGGCCACAAGGAGCGTTCTTTCAAGAGTGTACCCACAAAAGCAGCAACACTGGACATGGTTCACCTCCTATAGGTACTTACAGTCTCCTTCCATAACCTCTCAACGAGAAGAGAACAGAAAATTTTCGTTCTGCCTAAATGTGGATAGAGGTATACAAGAGGCAGCGCTACACACTAACATTGAAAATATCACTTTGAGAATTTATCGCAACTTTTAACGCGGTCAATATAAGTGCAACCAACTAAAGCTTAAGTAAAAGACTACATTGTGGTGACATCAAGTGGGCACCAGCAATGAGATGGTTTTCATGCAAGTTTACCTAAAATCTTCATAGAAATGTACATCCGGATTTCAGCAATGTTAAAAAGTATCTATTACCAGTCCCTCACTTAAGAAATTGCTGCAGATACCCAAAATGAATGCTGATGATGGCGCGAAGCATCGAATAATGAATTGAGGCCTTCTATTTTGTTCTTGATTCGTCATACGCTTTGAATGATGAGTGTTTAAAGATCGGCCTTCTATGTGGCCTTTTATTTTGGCCTTGGTAATATGGCCTTTTATTTTGTTTGTTCTGATTGACTTTTGATAACTTTTCTATTCACAGATGTTTTGTTTATACACATTGACATTGCCGCTTTTATAGTGTTGTGGACATAAATTTTATTCTGGTTAATAGGCTTTTATTTTGTTCTTGTTAACTTTTTACTCTGTGATATGTTTTGATTAATGGGTGGTTAAATGTCGGTGTTCTTAAGATGTTGTGGCCTTTTGTTTTTAAAACCATATGCGTGCTATGTACGCTCAGAAGAGGGTACCTGTGCTTTGACAAAGAACAATGGTGAGGCGTACCCCGACGAGAACAGCCGGACATTATGGGACCCTAAAGTGCTTCGCCCCTAAAAGTTCTGACATGACATTTTCAACATCTAATGTTTTAGGGAAACAAAGATAGAGCACTTCGATTCCAGTCCTATCATATGAGCTTTCTCAAGAAACATATGAGCTTTCTCAGACTAGCATTCGACAACATTTTTTTCATTTAGATTCACTCAGCCTCGATCTGGGTCTGAGTGAGACAAAGCATGAATGAGCTTGCTCACCCTATCGTTTCAGCCACATACAAAACCCAGAAATGTTATGCCTGAGGATAGCTCAGTGATTTATGGCTGCCAAACTCACTTAAAGCCCAGTTAAGCAGAGCAGAGTTAATATTGCCACATTCCTTTCCTCAAGTTTTGTTATCACCCTCGTTACAATACGTTCAGTACAAACCACGCTTACAATGTTCGAAAGGCTTCGAGGCTGTAGTAGATCATTTTGTTAAGATTACGCCCACTTCGTGAACATTACAGATTATTCTGGAACCTACGGCCCTGCCAGAGATAACTCTAGAATATTCAATGGCAAGGGTATGAATGCCGACGTGCTTCACTGCTTGTCAGTTGATTGACGGCCGACGCCCTGCTCACCGCTATCAGTGCCAGTGCCTTGCTGTAATCTAACTCTTTTTATGTGGCTACAAATTAGGCCCGAATAAACAGTTTATTATCCGACCATCCAGTCTTCTGCCTTCAGCCACGTCAGGATCCCGTAACATCTGGTGGAAGTGCAGCTTCGTTCATGTACCGGACGCTCCCGTCAAGCCGTGAACCCAGCCCATGTCGCGGAGAAGACACCAACGCCAACCAGGAGCAGTGAACAAGCCACCGGCAGCAAGGTCTACCACCGGAGTACGGGCCACTACAAAACAAGGCGCAGAAGACCAAGGCCATGACTTCGACTGCGGGGACAATGACAACTGCTGTGTCACAGTCCGCGATCGTCATGCATCAACGCAGGGTACCACGAACATACCACGGGTCATCGTTCGAAGACCCAGAGACCTGGCTAGAGACATACAACTGCGTCGCCCCCCTCAAACACTCACTGTGACACTGAAAAAAAGCTCCATCACGTGTACTTCTACCAGGAAGACACCACAAGGACCTGGCTGGAAAATCCGGAGTCTGTGCTCCAAACGTGGGATGTCTTCTGCAGCGCATTCCTGCAAACATTCGCGAGCGTCGCACGCAATGATAGAGCCGCCACTATGCTTGAGAACCAGGCTCAGCTACCAAATGAAAATGTTGCCACTTTCACAGAAGAAATGACCCACCTATTCCATCACACTGACACGGACATGCCTGAGGAGAAGAAAGTTCGTTTCCTCATGCAAGGGGTCAAACAGGAGCTCTTCACGGGATTGATGAAAAACCCACCAAAGACCATCCAAGAATTCCTCGCAGAATCGACAGCTAATGAAAAAACGCTCAAAATGTGCACACGACCGTTCAGCCGATGCGCGGCTCCAGGCTATGCAGAAATACTACCACTATGCTCCGATGACCTGTGCGAGACCACAAGGGCTGTTGGGCGCAAAGAACTTCACGGAATGTTTCTGTCCTGCCAGCCTCAAGTTTGGTCGATTTCAGACAACGTCAGAGAAGAAATTCAGCAATCAATTGGTATCCCTGAGACATCGCAACCGTAACCTTAAATGTAACTTAGAAACGTGGCAGCTTGGGCTAGTTGGTATGGCATGACGACAGTTATAGCGCGAGAACAAAACAACAACACAGAGATAAGAAGGACACAAAAAACACGAGCGCTCGTATCTTTCTTATCTCTGTGTCGTCGTTTTGTTCTCGCGCTATAACTTTCGCAGCCTTGAGCCATGAAATAGGCTGCTGCTGCCCGATGCTATACTCCACGTCCACGTCAAAAGGCCGCGCCGCCGACACCATACCGTGCATTCGCCGGCCAGCGCAATGCTCCGAGAAAAACCGGCGTGCGGCACGCCCCCGACCACTAGCCTTTCTACTATCACTGCGGGGAAGCTGGCCACACCTACCACTGCTGCCAGTACTGCCAGATGGGACTACGTGGTTTCCCCATCGACGCGCCACGTCCACAGTACAGTGAAAGACCACGTGACATCGTTGACTATCTTGCCGGAACGCAGAGGACACCCCGAGGATCTTCTCATTCACCTTCACCCAGCTGCTACATGTCTCCACACCATCATCAGTACAATGACCCAAGTCGGGGCCGGTCGCCTAGCCCGAACCAGGAAAACAAAGGGCAGCAACCGATGGAGGTGCGGTTCCTGCACGACGAATTGCCGAAGATCCTCCGCTGCCGAGGACACCGCCACGATGAAACTTCAAGAACCCGCTGTCCCCTCAACATAGCCCCAACGTCGAAACTTCGCGAACAGAAGTAGTCCTTATTATGCAAGGTCGGAACGGTGGTGCGAACTCTCGTAGCCGTGATCCGACGCCGCGACCCAACCGCAACGCCAGGCGACAAACTAGCGACCTCGACATCCTCATCAATGGCCACAGCGTCACAGCTCTCGTCGACACTGGAGCTGATTATCTCACCATCAGTGGGACTTTTGTCGCGAAGTTGAAGAAAGTTAGGACCACTTGGGGAGGCCCTGAAATCCATACAGTCGAAGGTCACCTAGTCTTGCTAAACACTAACCTCCAAAATATCTTTGCATGGTGCGAGCAATGGAAGATGAGGTTAAACACAGACAAAACCGTCTTTATACGAGTAACCAACAAAAAAAATATTTTGCCATTTACATATCAAGCCGGTACCCAGACACTAGCTCAGGTTGTTGAGTATAAGTACCTTGGTGTCACTCTAACCAACGACCTCAGCTGGAATAAGCACA